TGCAATGAAAAACTTGAAATCAAACACGTGACTGCCAATGACTCAGGAATCTATCAGTGTAAGGCGTCTAATCTTCTTGGCAGCACACAAGCAACAGCGAAACTTCAAGTGAACTTCCGCCCACGGCTGACCTTAAACACTCGAACAATCTACAAAAAGATTGGTGATAACATTAAYCTACCTACGTKTCACGTGACTGGGTTCCCTAAGCCAAAAGTCACGTGGTCTAAGGTTATTGGTAATCAGTGGAACTTTAGGTTGAAAAGGCTGCTGGGTCCGCGTTTTGTTCTGAGAGATGGAGTTATGACTGTACTTAAAGCGAAGAAAGAAGATTCGGGGASATATGTTTGCAAAGCTGAAAATCGTCTTGGTTCTGCTGAAGGATCAGTTGTGGTATATGTTATCGATCCGCCTGTGTTTGTTGTCAAGCCTCCATCGTCGTATATTACCCYTCCTGGTTCAACCGCAATGCTTAACTGTACCGCTAAAGGTGACCCTCAGCCTGTCATTAGTTGGAGAAAAGACAACACCCTTCTTCCTGCTGGGAAATATGAAGTGAGAGATGGCTCTTTGATTATAAGGAAYTTAACGAAAACAGATTCGGGTGTGTTTGTATGCATTGCATCAGCCCTCGCGAGTGGTAATAGCATTTATAAGATATATGCGGATACGAATTTGACTGTACTACATGTAAAGGACTGCGCAGATCTTTACAAATCAGGAGAGAAAAGTAACGGTGTGTACACAGTTCAGCCCGACAACAAACGTGGCTTCAAAGTCTACTGTGACATGACAACTGACGGCGGGGGTTGGACTGTGTTCCAGCGAAGACAAGATGGATCGGTCCGATTCGATGGCAATTGGCAGCAATACAAAACAGGTTTTGGAAACCTGAATGGCGAGTTTTGGTTGGGTAACGATTACATCCATCGACTGACAGCAAGAACAGCGTCGAGTCTGCGCGTTGATCTAGAGGATTGGGACGGAACTAGAAAATATGCCAAATATGGCAATTTTAGTGTTGGTGATGAATCAGACAAGTACAGGCTGAGGGTTGGCTCGTATTCAGGTACTGCTGGGGACTCGTTAGCATATCATAATAACATGGCGTTTAGTACAAAAGATAGAGATAACGATAAATACATTGACGWGAGCTGTGCTCRMGGTGATATTGGAGCCTGGTGGTATAATCACTGTCATTATTCTAATCTAAATGGAAAATACATCGGTAACTACTCCTACTACACTGGAGTGATTTGGCATCACTTTCGTAATTCTTATAAAAGCATGAAAACTTCTCAGATGAAAATACGTCCATACAATTTTTTAATGTAAATTAGCGCGGGAAACACTGGAAAAAATCGTTCACTTTAAAAGGTTCTAAATTTGATGTAAATATTATGTAAGTGTCCAAAATGATGTAAATTTGATGCTTAAATTTGATGTACATTTACATCAAATTTATACATCATTTTGGACACTTAGTTACATAATATTTACATCAAATTTACAACCTTTAAAGTGCGCGATTTTTTCCTGTGAAAATGAGAAACATTTGTATTTTACAGATAATTATATGATAATTATACAATTATATTTCCATTTCTTTTTTCTTGTTTATATATTCATTGTATTCAAAGTATTTCTGTTGATATTAAAATGATTTTTTWAAAAAAAGAGTTATCATCATATAATAGTGAACAAATACATTTGACTGTCTTGATTATTAATGAAATTTTAAAGATATGTTATACAAATACATCAGAAACTAATACTGATTCCATAAGTCGGTCCAGGTTCCCTCTTGTTGTCGTTATTTTCTTCCCGCATAGGTCGCTAGTTTGAACGAAAAAAAATTGAGGAGCGAATACTGKAACTTATGGAATCAGTTTAGCAGCATTTCTTCTTGCTTGTTTTGAATTAATTTATAATGAATATACGGTTAGCTTTTCTATGTGAAAATGAACATTCAAATACTTGCTGTAACYCTCCTGGAAGAAGTTTTGGGGTCGAGAATGGGTGATAAAATGGAAACTGAGAACTGAATTGAGTGTTTTTTTAGTTGGGAAATGATATTTCATMCACTTGGATTGGGAATTAAATACAAAATAAGAAAACAATGTACATATGGCAATGACAAA